CAGTGACTTTGAAACCTTTGTAAAATCTACAGAAGACATAAAAACCCCTTGTAAAATCTACAGAGTTACCACCTACCTTGTCCCTTGCAGTCCTGTTGTTAAATGTTTCTTCAGCTTTGCTTGTTCCAAAAGTGTTGGGTACTTGATTGCACCAATATGAGAATAAAGAAAGAGAAACCCACAAGTTTTAGTCAGATGATTAAAAATAGGGAGGAAAGTTTTCTTGGTTGATAATTTGTCATTTTACATGTGTTGTGCAAAAAAGAAAAAAAGAAATGTATAGGATTCCTTCATAAAAAATTCACTAAAACAGGAAACGTGTGCGTATTTTCTGCCAAAAATGTGGAAAATTGAGTATCTTAAGGCTAAAATCAAAGGATTTTAATGAGATGTTTGAAGAAGGGGAAGTAAAGTAACTTGTTTCTACTTGAAAAGAGCAACACCTTTAGAAAAATGTTAATTAACACAATATTGACCTGACATGTAATACAGAGAGTAGGGGGGCCCAAACTTTAAAAATGTCCTTGTTATCATGATAACCTACTTAAATCAAATGTTATCCTTTGATATATCTAATACGTCTATGGATGTAGCTGTCTCTACTTACACTGGAGCAAAACTGCGTTGAAGACCACGTTAGTCCAGGTGCAGGCTGCTCAGACACACGCTCTGACTGCAACCTGTAGCTTTGGCTCTCACATGCTGGGTGTTGTGGGGAGCAGAGCCAGGACAAGTAGATGGAGTGATGCAGTTGAGCAAGGTGAAAGGAACTGGTAGGCATAAAGGCTGGGAGATGTGACCACAGACACAACTGTGAGGAGCCTGGAAGGTAAAGTCAAGCTTACTCTCAATGTAGAAGCAGAAAGGGAGCAGTAAAGGCATCAGAGGAATAAAGTGATATAGGCAGAATGATGGGTGAGGATTTGGATTGCAGCTTTTTCAGATGGCTCGTGAGAAGGAAGTTAGTAGCTGGAAACCCCAGAGTGAGTGCCTGGCATTTGGCTCCATAGACTTGTATCAGTAAGAAAACTGCACAGGGTGGTTAGGGCTGATGTTGAGGGTAAAAAAAAATAAAAATTCCCAGTGAGTTAGAATTCATTGGAGTCTGATTGTGCAATGAAGGTGGGAAGTGAGTGACGATTGCCGGACTTGTACCCAGCTGAATAGAAGCCCTGGGGTGTGGGAGCTTTTAAAGATTGTTTTTCTCCTTGTGCATATACTCAGCAACATTTCTGAGAGAGTTGCACTAATTAATTCTTCTCTCCACCCCTACCCTCTGATGTCCTAGCTGAGCACAGCGTCACCTCTCAGAATGGGATATATGGGACATGAGGTCCTTTCCACCCAGGCCAGGCAGCAGCTGCTCTGAGATTTGAAGCAGATGTTTGGGCCTGAATCTTAGTCATTCAGTGTGATTCGTGTTAGTAGCTAACAGGGGCCAACTTATTTATCTAGGAAACTCCTAGTGAGGTAGAGACACTTACTGTAGATGGGTTCCTGTTTAGCAACCCACAGCAGTGGCATGCTGGAATAATCCTTCAATGTAAATGTTTCTTTTCTTTATTCTTTCAAGTGCTTGCTGACCTCATTTCTATAGTATTTCACAGGGTACATCTGGTTTTGGTTGCTTCATGACTCAGTGTTCCAGTTTGAAAATGCAGTGTTGTGATTTAAAACATCGTGTCAGGACAGTGATGTACAACTGCCCATGACCTAAATGTTGTTGCTTTTGCTCTTGGCCACCGGTCCTGCCGTGGGCTGGGCTCCTGCCGTGGCACAGGCACCGAGGACCACGCGGCAGGGCCTGGCTGAGTGCAGAGCCACTGCTGGCTTTTCCATCCCCTCCAGGCTGTGCTTGCTTTGCGCTCGAACACGCTTCTCCCCGGTGTCAAATATTCCTACCTGGCTATAACATTCGCTTCCCGCTAGAATTTCGTGAGCTGTGAGTTCTGTTCTACACATTTTACCCTTTTCCTTTGCTCTAGTCCACTTTGTGAATTTGGGTTGCTGTGGGTAGATGCACCGTTTCATTTACTTCAAGGCAATTTGTGCAGGTTAAATTTCATTATGCAGTATGAGCTGCAGACAGAATTTGTTTTCTCTGATGCTTTCTCAGATTTTGTACTCTTCTGTTGAGTATGAGTTTACCTACACTGTCTGGAGACTTTTTCTCAAGCAGATGCATTTTGGTGTTTATCCAGGTTGTGGCATCTATCTTGGTGGTGCTCAAAATATTCAGGTAAACTCTCTTGCAGTTTTTCTGACAGAAGACTTAATGATGATAAGACGAATGAGAGAGTATCTTCTTTTTCCCCTCACGTTTTTTTCCTGTAAAAGTCCCCACCATTTGCAGATACATGTCTGTCTATCAAAGATAATACATGTCATAATCTTACACACAGAGGGAAACACATTTGAATGGGAGCTCAGGAATTCTGCTTAAATGTGTCACTAAATGTTCAAACAATACTCCCATCAGCTTCTGGATGGATTGCCAATTTATATGCTGTCTAACAGGTATATTACAGTTCAACAGCATGAAAACACTTTTTAGGTTGTGTTAATTTATAATAATTTGGTTTAAGGCAGAAACACTTACTGGAAATTTGCTTGCATTAAGTTACTACTTTAACTTAAATAACTAGGAGCTAGAGAAGGAATGAAACTAGACTAGAATATAAAACATATTTGCTTAAGACCCATGTAATGATTAAAATGAGAAAATAAGGAAGCTAGCATAATGAATATTAATGTTTCACTCTGTTTTACACTTTCTGTCTTCCACTATTTTCCTTTGAGTTACTTGATAGTGCAATTTACATCAAAAAACGTATGCTCATTTTTAAGTGATGTCTTTTGAAAAACCACAAAAATTAATGACTTGTGAGCTTTGTAGAGGAGGAGATAAATGACATCATTTTATAACAGGCAATATTTGATACCCAGATACAGTGCGTGCTTTGCTAAAGTTTCAGGAGATGAAGGCTACCACCTAGGTAGTATTAAAGTCAGAGATACACCACAAATAAGATGATACCTACTCACTGTGTATTTGCTGACCAGGTTAACAGAATTTTTTTTGTTTATTTTCAAAGGGAGCAGGACTCCTGCATTTAGTTTAAAAAAAACAACCCACACAAATCAAAACAAAAACAACAAACAAAACCCCACAAAAACAAACAAAACCCCAAAGAAAACAGTTATTCAATATTTAGCATTGTGGGAGATCAGTCATTTCTATATATCATTGTGTATGAAAGCAGTCAGAGGTGTGCTCTCAGAGCTTCATGGAAAATGATGACATGGGGGAATTTGACCAAACAAAAGTATATTAATCTTTAGATGACCCTGGAAAGACCATCTTCTCGCAAAAATATGATAAGTCATGGCAACATTTTATTTTGTCTTCTTTTAATTCTTTGTCGATTTCTTCCGTAGTTTTTAAGGTAATGATTGATATTGATTAGCACATGCCCAGAAAAAGAGAACTTTTTAACTGTAACAAAGATAGTTTTTTGTGTTTGCTACCTGGAAATCTAAATCCAGAATGTCAGCTCTTAGAACAACATTGTGCTGCGTAGCATCCCAGCATTCCAGGCCAGATTGCCATCAATTCTCAGAGCCATTTGTCCTGTGAGTTCTAACTTTGCTTCAGGTGACCTGCTCGTGAGCAGAGAGTATTTTCAGGGTTTCTGGGCTAGCTATCCAGTAGTGTTTGTGAAATCTAATATCTAACATGCTGTTGCAGAAATTGATACTGGAGAATTCTGAAGATATGCTCTTGTGGCTCAGTTACTTTGTTATAACTAATCTCAAAGAGTAACATTTGGCCATGCGGAAGGCAAAGAACCTCTGTGAGCTTTTTCAAGAAAAGGAGGTGAACTGCTTTGTCTTAATCACATTCCTTCATGATAAAGCTAATGAATGCAACCAGACATTAATTTTCATGGGTTATTTATTAACCTTATTCTTATCTTGGACAAAAAACCTCTGAGCTGTCAACTTCCAGCTCACAGACTGATGCTGAGGATGCCAGTGTGTGTCTGCAGGTGAAGTTGAACTGATCAGGAGTGCAGCACACCAGTTTTTTAGGCCCATATCCTTCTTTGTCACCACAACTGTTTATCAGTGGTAGACAGTGTTTGTGGAGAATTTAGGGAGCAAGACTGTAAGGTAAGGTCAGTGATGTTATGGTGATGCTAAAGCCTCTGGAATGAATGAGAGAAGGAAGGACATGTGGGTAGCTGACACTGCTTATGGTTTAGCTGGGGTGAGGAACTGGAGCTGGAAGGGTCTGCTATTAAGAGAGTAAGAATGTTCTTCAGGGTCTTTGTAAGTGGCATTAGCTCCAAAACCCACTGATGCCCTTTATTACTACTGCAGCACCCTTGGAGAAATGTTTTTTGGGTCTGAGATAAGTCTGCATACCTGTGGCATTTGTTTCTGTGTTATTCTAGATGTGCTGGGGCTGACAATATTTCATTAGTTTTGGGACTGAAGGATCAGGCAGCTCATTGGAATCTCATATCTGCTTTTCTTGGGTGACCTCTGGCATATGAAAGTTTTCTGTTTGTTGGTGGAACCAAGTGATAACATTCCTCTGTAGGTAGTGAGGGTCTTATTTCTCCTTTATCATTTCCATTTGGAATTTTTTTAACTTGCTTGATTGACAAAACATTGAAATGCTAAATATTAATATACTTTGTAAAATTATTTGAATATGAACATTTTTTTCTTTCCCTTCTATGGTCAATTCATCTCCATTAAATTTTTGTCCAAAAATATGTCCTCAGCATTGTAAATTAGCACCAAATTCATTAACTACCACAAGTAAAATGATTGACTTCTTTCCTGGAAATGAGCTCCTGTGCTCTCATTAGTGTTTTAAATTAATTCTGGCAATACTAAATACATACTGTTAACACCTCAACACTTTGTGTATAGTATATTTGACATTAATTTCTGGTTTTTTGTTTGTTTTGTTTGTTTGTTTTTAACAGGATTTATCTGGGGAAGGCTACAGAGACACTATTGGTGATGAACACTTCCACCTAGAAGGTATTTAAAGAACAAAATTTCTTGGTTAATATTAAGGGATTTTGGAGTAAGTTAGTGAACAAATCAGTGTGAGAATGCCTATATTGAGAGTGCAATTCTTGATCTACTGGTGTGGTTTTTGCTTGAAAAAACTGCTAGGATGGAAATGGGGTATTATTTCTGTATCTGCTACCACTGGTGTAGAAAAAGGTCATCCAGTTGTATCACAGGGAGCAAGTGTTCTAATTCAAGGTTTCACAATTTTTTCTGGGTACTGCTGTTGACATTGGTAGCAGTTGTGATAGTGCTGTCCTGAGCAGAGGTGGCAAATGCAGTCACTGACAATGTCAGCACTGGGTTATGTGATGTGCTGCACTCTCTTCTGTGTTACACAGACCAGCCTTAGAAACTCCTACATTAATTTCTAATAAAGACTAGAGACTCTTACTCAACACATCTTTCTTGAATGTGAATGGAATCATTACTGCCTTGGAGAACTCTTTCCATCTCATCTCCTCCTCTGTGAGGCAGTTGAGATGGAATCACTGTTGTGGTGGGAATGGCCTTTGGGGACCTTGAGTATGGATGCTGTATCCTGCATGCCAGAGAACACATCCGAGGAACCTTGAACTTCAGTTGCACAAGTGGGAGTTGATGAATGGAGGACAATCATTAGCTGCTCATTCCTTTAAAGGAAAACAGACTTCAGACACTGTCTAGTATAACAATTGCATGAGCTGTGTGCTAGATTTATTTTATAGGGTAGTGGAAACAGTATGCCCCATTTATTTAGAGCAATGAACCATGTCAAGCTTAACCTGGAAATTTCTGTCCTTTTATAATCCAGGCATTTGTTTCTGGTATTAGAGGCGTCTGGCTAAACAGAACTTGAAAGATTCTGTGTGTTAATAATGTCTGCCTTTCAGTTCCTTACCTGTGAAATGTAATAATATATCATGTATCTTGGGTTCCATGTTTCTATCAGCTCTGTAGATAACAGAGAATGTTCCCTTGTATGTGCTGTAACACAGGAGCTCAATTTCAGCTGGTGCTTGTAGGCTACTGTTAATCACAATAGCAAAGTCTGCTTGCCTGATGGAGTTTTTTTCAGCATTTTTGTATTTAACTTCACCACAGTTTTCCTATCTGCCCACAGTGGGACATAATGCTAATAAAGGTTTTTACTTTTAGAATTATAGGAGAAACCACTTCACATAGGATATTAAATGTCAGCAAGGTGAATAATTTAATTTTCTTTGTCTCATTCTGTGTTTCCTTGCCTCTAATTATTTCTTTCTTTGTTGTGTAGAATTGTCTTGCATGGCAAACATAATATTAAATATATAATATTTCCAAACCAATCAGCAGCAGGATTGTTTTTATTAGGGTGTAAAACCTTTTAGGTTGCTGCAAGTTCAGTCTTTCAGCAGTTTCATGTTATTACTTATGATGCATCTCATTTTTTATGAAGTAGCTGAGTAGTGAAGACCAGATTTAGATACCAGCTGGTGGTCCATGCTTTGTGTGCTGTCACTGGGGAAGAGCTGTTCTGTGGCATCTTTCCATTTGGGAGGAAGATGACTGTTCCCACCCAGTGCTCAGGCAAATGTGTGTGGATTGTCAAGGCTTGGTCCTCATCCCTTCTGCTCCCAGAGTTCCAGGCTGTGCTTGCCATCCTGGGGACAGTGTTAACCACTTCCTATTTGAATGGGATATTAAAACTCTTATAATTTATCAGACAGTACTACAAGCATTGTGTTAAAGCACCCTTATTGTATAAGCTCATAATTTTTACTGGCATCATATTTTTAATGGTTGTGCTTCGTACTGGCATAAATTTGTGATATTAGCATAAAGTGAGGCTGAAACTTGATTTGAGATCTCTGTTTGGGCTCAGCTTGAATTCTGTGTGACTAAGGTACAAGATGACCACTGTCATACCTCTTCTCTGTGTAGAAATATTTCTGTGGGAAAAAGTAATTAATATTCTAGAACTTTTCCATCTAAAATATTGTTATGCCTTTATTTTGCTGCCTTGTTATCTTAACATATGTACTGGTGTAATATGTGTGCTGCATGATTATGTGTTCATGTGCCATAGGAACATCAAAATCACTGATGGCTGGCTTCAGAGCCAGGGAGCTGTAACCCGGAAAATGGTTGGTTGGACTAAGCTCACAGAGGACATGAATGGCAAAACAAAGACTTAAACCCAGCTCTATCAAATACCATGCATCAAAGAGCTATGTTCTGCCTTCATAAATACATGGTGGGGATGCAAAAAAAAAAAAAAGGGGGGAAAGAAAAAGAAACATTTCTCAGATTTGCAAGAAGGCACAGCAGGTGCCACAGTTCTGGTTTGGGGAAAGTTATAGCCTTTGCACTCAGAAACTTTACTGGAGAATAAATCTGAATTCTTTAGAAGAATCTCACTGAAAAGACAAAGTGGCAATAAGAGAAATAATTGAATTCCTTATTTTGTTTTACATAGCCAAGTTCATTACCTTTTTTTTCTTCCTTCTCTTTTTTTCCCCCTCTTAGCCATCTGAGCAGTACAGATAAAAAGAACTCTCTTTGCTGGATTTAACTTCTGTGTTGTTATGTAAAGCTTGATCAAATCCTTTCGTCTTAACAGACTTAACTGGCCAACAGCAAAAGGCTCGGGATTCTGGGATTAAGATTGTATTTGGTAAGAGGACTGGTGCATTAGTGCTTTCTTTTGAACTATACAAAGAACAAAGTAAACATCAAAAGCATTAAGCCATGAGAGCGGATTGTTGACTCAATGTTGCTGCATGACAAGAGGTTAGAACTCAATAGCTGCGACTCTGTTTACGGAGTGCTGTGCAGAAAGAAACAGTTTGACCAGTATTGTCTATTATATCCACCACCTGCCTTTGATTTTGCTGCTGGGCAACTCACTAAATTGAAATTTTTGGATTTTCTCTTATGTGGTCAGTGATTTCCTTAGATAAGAGACACCAGTGGAAACCTCAGTCTCATATTACTCTGCCTCTGTTTTTCTTCTTCCTCTTTGAGTTAATAACTCAACAATTGGGCATGGTGGATATGGGTTCTGTAGCGGATTCATTTGCAGCTTTCATTCCAAGTGATTTCCCACCGCGTTTCAGAGACTCCCATTTGCCAAACTTGGAGTACTTGTGCTATGTGCAGTGCAGTACTGCTGTGGCTGTGTACAAATGTCTCGTGCTTCAAGTTTCTTGTCCCACAATTCCTGCACAGAAAACATGTGCTTTGTGCTTCATCACTCTTCTTGTGTAGGACAAAAGCTCGCATTTCCTCTTCCTTGGCCCTAGACAGAATAATAGGTCACCAGAACTGAACGACTGGAGAGGACTCCGGAAGAAGTCACAAAAAGTAGCACAGACATTGGCAGATGCTTTTCATTTCGTGTCAGCAGAGAAGCTGAAATGGCAGGCAGGAATTAAATGCAGCATCAAACAGCAAGGCCCTCTTCTGTCATGGAGATATGCAGGCAGCTCAAAGAGATATCTGCTATTTTTGTGTTCAATAATGACATCCAAGTTCTCACTCAGCTCTTCAAGGGATAGGTAAGCTTCTCAGGAATTTTTAGAGTCCTGCTCTTGTTCTCCAGGACTTTTTTCACCTCTTTTCCCTGGACTGTTTAAGAAATTTTCACAGCTAAAATTTGTAGACCAGAAGAACTTTCTTGTCTTGAGCACTCCATGTCTTTCTGAAGTGAACTGGGGTTTCTTCATGCTATCACTCGAACATTTAAAAACTTTTCAGAAAGATCAGTTCAGAGATGGAAAATCTTCCTCTGATGCATTCTGATTGCATAAAGGGATGATTTCCTCCTTGTCTCAACACAAGCTCTTTAGAGCCCAGTGGGACACACCTGTCAGTTTACTTCAGCATGCTACTTCTGGAGTTCACAGTGAAGTCTTGAGCTCGAGGTGAGATACGTAACCTATCAGGAGACACCTAACCTATCATCCCACATAGTTATGAGATAATGTGATTTCTCATGTCACTGTTCTACTGAAAAGTATGACTCAGGTGTCTCTACTAATCAGAAATCTTGCATCTCTGGAAATCAATCTAGCCCTGTACCTGTCAGAAGAGCTGCCTCTTACACTGATAGCAATCTCTTCCCTGTTTCATTTGTCAGCCAAGGGTGATATCTTGATTATTATTCTCTCAACTGGAGAAATCCAAGCCTTCCTGGTGCCTTACCCGAACATGATATCCAAAGTCCTCTTGAAAGCAGTGGCAGAGCTTGGCTTGAATCAACAAACCCAATTTTTTACATTTCCCAACCCAGTTGTATCCAAATCCCTAGATGTAAGATATTCCCTGTTCTGGTACCAGAAAGGACAAATTATTCCAGTCATCTTCTTGCCCATAAATATTAGAGAGTCCTCCAGCAGAGTTCAAAGCACATGTTGTTGCTGGAAAAAAAATCTAGCATATCTGTAAAAGAGCTACTTGTTGCACTTTTCACATATTTACAAGATATGGTGGAATTTTTAAACCTGCAGGTAAAGCATTCTGTATTTAGCAAAGCAGAAAAAAATCCTTTTATTCTTAATATTACTATATTAAGTATTATAATTATAGTAATATTACAATATTTCTATATGTTTTTCAAGTTGGTAGTAGTGTGTCCAGTCAGTCCTTCATCTGGGGCTGCAGGGGAGGGCATGAGGGAAGTGTCCTTTCCCACTGCACCCCACAGCAGGGCTGCTTTCTCCATTCAGGAGAAATTCAGTGAAGGCTTTAGTTCCTGGACTTGTTTTTAAAATTGGTAACTGGAAGAGTATTTGTTGGGTTGTCAGCTCAGAGGAAGGGTGGCAAAGTATGGTACTTGGGCCCAAATTGTTTATAAACTTGTCAGCAAAGGAAAACTTGAACAAGCATTTTAACTAGCTTTAACTAACCTTCTATTTGCCTGGGAGACACTTTTTACCATACTTCGTTAATCTCTAAGCTCTAATAAATTAATGTATTGTTCTAGGCTGAGCTATGAAGGGGTAATA